GTGTACCGAGACGAGTGGGGTTGAAAGTAATGGAGGCATCCACGGAATCAATGAGATGTCGATGGAGGGAGAAATCGTCAGGAGGCGCAGAATCAAGAGGGAGGAGATCAAAATATTTGGCCCACGAAGCGGGACCAAACAAGGCTTGATAGGTAGCAGAACTGGAAGGAATCGAGCGAGGGCGGCCGTGACGAGGACGGCGGTGAGAACCCCCAGAGAGAGAGGGGTTAAAAGGCGCAGTAGTTACAACTAGAGAAGGAGCCGCGCCAGGGGACGAGGTAGTCACCACTGGGGGCTTGGGGCTCGACCCAACCACAGAGGAGGGAGGGGAGCCAGAGGAAGGAGTCAGAGAGGCCAAAGGAGGAGCAAGGTCGGGGGCCCAATGCAGCGGAGGCTACAGAGCCCGGTCTTCCAATACGGACCGACTCGGGGGCTTGGTCGCCCACCCCACGAGCCTGAGAAGGTAAACCAGAAGAAGCCGAAGCAGGGGTAATCATCTTGACGAAAAGAAGAATTCACTCACGAATGTGCCCCCACACCCACCATGGAGCCACAATTAGAGGCAGGACACCCAACAAGAAGCTATCGCCGATCTTGTCGGGGCCTCCTAGGGGTGCGTCACGAGTATACGCCCCACAAACGCCACCTTAAGAAACCGACAGTCCGTCGAGATCGGGTTCAGTGACGAAGTGGGGATTGACAATAAAAGGTTCCCCTCGCTCTCGACGTCGGGTACTGCAGTTCTACGGGTGCATGAGTATGCCTCCTCAAGCACCCGGGCGTCAAAATAGAAGAAGTCCAAGGGAAGAACCAGAACGAGCAAAAGGTCGGTAGGAAACGGCAAGCAGATAGGAGAAGAGGGGGGAGAAAAACGAAACAGAAGGAAAAGGAAAAAATGCCCAGCAGAATTGGAGAGGACGGCAGCAGGAGCACAAGGCTAGAAAAGGACAGAGGACTGTCCCAAGGAGCATCACACTCCGGCAGCCGCCCACTAAGCCCCCACACGGCGACAACGAGCTGAGCGGGGAGGGGGTCACATAGAGAGTGACGGTGGGGGTAAGTCGTCTTCACATAGAGAGTGAGGTGGTGTGGGCCGTCTTCACATAGAGAGTGAGGGCGGTGGGTCGTCTTCACATAGTGAGGTTGGGGGTGGGTCGTCTTCACATAGAGAGTGAGGGTGGGGTGGGTTGTCTATACATAGCGAGTGAGGGGTGGGGGTGCGTCATCATCACATAGAGAGTGAGGGGTGGGGGCAGGTCGTCATCACATAGAGAGTGGGGGTGGATGGTAGGTCATCTTCACATAGAGAGTAAGGGGTGGGGGTGGGTCGTCATCACATAGAGAGTGAGGTTGGGGGGTGGGTCGTCTTCACATAGTGAGGGTGTGGGGTGGGTTGTGTTCAAATAGAGAATGAGGGTGGGGGTTCGTCGTCTTCACATAGAGAGTGAGGGCGGTGGGTCGTCTTCACATAGTGAGGGTGTGGGGTGGGTCGTCTTCACATAGAGAGTGCGGGTGGGGTAGGTTGTCTTCCCATAACGAGTGAGAGGTGGGGGTGGATCATCATCACATAGAGAGTGAGGGGTGGGGGCACGTCGTCATCACATAGAGAGTGAGGGGTGGGGGTGGGTTATCTTCACGTAGAGAGTGAGGGTGGGGGTGGGTTGTCTTCACATAGAGAGTGAGGGTGGGGGTGGGTTGTCTTCACATAGAGAGTGAGGGTGGGGGTGGGTCGTCATCACATTAAGAATGAGGGTGGGGGATGGGTCGTCATCACATAGAGAATGAGGGTAGGGGTGGGTCGTCATCACATATATATTAAGGGTGGGTGGAGGCCCTCTTCACATAAAAAGTGAGGGTGGGGTTGGTTCTCCATCACATAGACAGTGAGGGTGGTGATGGGTCATCATCACATAGAGAGTGAGGTGTGGGGTGGGTCGTCATCACATAGAAGGTGAGGGTGGGGGTTGGTCGTCATCACATAGAGGCTGAGGGTCGGTCGTCATCACATAGAGAGTGAGGGTTAGGGCAGGTCGTCTTCACATAGAGAGTGAGGTTGGGGGTGGGTCGTCATCACATCGAGAGTGAGGGGGTAGGGTGGGTTGTCTTCACATAGAGAGCGAGGGGTGGAGGTGGGTTAATTGTCTTTACATAGAGAGTGAGGGGTGGGGGTGGGTCGTCATTACATAGAGAGTGAGGGTGGGGCAGGTCGTCTTCACATTGAGAGTGAGGGGTGGGGTGGGTCGTCATCACATAGAGTGAGGGTGGGGGTAGGTCGTCATCACAGAGTGAGGGTGGGGGTTAGTTGTCATCACATAGAGAGTGAGGGGTGGGGTTGGTTGTTTTCACATAGAGTGAAGGGTGGGGGTGGGTTGTCTTCACATAGAGAGTGAGGGTGGGGGTGGGATGTCTTCACAGAGAGAGTAAGGGTGGAGGTAGGTCGTCATCACATAGACAGTGAGGGTAGTGATGGGTCGTCATCACATAGAGAGTGAGGGGTGGGTTGAGTCATCATCATATAGAGAGTGAGGTTGGGGGTGGGCTGTCTTCTCATAGAGAGTGAGGGGTGGGGTAGGTTGTCATCACATAGAGTGAGGGTGAGGGCAGGTCTTCATCACAAAGAGAGTGAGGGTTGATGGGAGGCCCTCTTCACATAGAGAGTGAGGGTGGGTCATCTTCATATAGAGAGTGAGGGGTGGGGGTGGGTCATCATCACATAGAGAGTGAGGGGTGGGGATGGGTTGTCTTCACATTGAGAGTGTGGGTGGGGGTGTGTTGTCATCACATAGAGAGTGAGGGGTGGGGGTGTGTTGTCTTCACTTAGATAGTGAGGGAGGGGGTGGGGTGTCTTCACTAAGAGAGTGAGGGGTGGGGTTGGGTCGTCTTCACATAGAGGGTGGGGGTGGGTTGTCTTCACATAGAGAGTGAGGGATGTGGGTGGGTTTTCTTTACACAGAGAGTAAGGGGCGGGGGGGAAGGTTGTCTTCACATAGAGAGTGAGGGGTAAGGGTGGGTCGTCTTCACATAGAGAGTGAAGGGTGGGGGTGTGTTGTCATCACATAGAGAGTGAGGGGTGGGGGTGTGTTGTCTTCACTTAGATAGTGAGGGGAGGGGGTGGGGTGTCTTCACTAAGAGAGTGAGGGGTGGGGTTGGGTCGTCATCACATAGAGAGTGAGGGTGGGGCTGGGTCGATATCACATAGAGAGTGAGGGTGGGAGCATGTTGTCTTCACATATAGGGTGAGGGGTGGGGGTGGGTTTTCTTCACATAGAGGGTGAGGGTGGGGGCAGGTCATCTTAACATAGAGAATGATGGTGGAGGTGGGGTCTTCACATAGAGAGTGAGGGTGAGGGTGGGTTGTCTTCACATAGAGAGTGAGGTGTGGGGATGGGTTGTCTTCACATAAATAGTGAGGGGTGGGGGTGGGTTGTCTTCACATAGAGAGTGAGGAGTGGGGGTGGGTTGTCTTTACATAGAGAGTAAGGGGTGTGGGTGGGTCGTCTTCACATAGGGAGTAACGGGTGGAGGTGGGTTGTCTTCACATAGAGAGTGAGGGTGGGGGTGGGTTGGCTTCACATAGAAGGTGAGGGTTGGGTGGGTTGTCTTCACATAGAGAATGAGGGGTGGGGGTGGGTCATCATCACATAGAGAGTGCAGGTGGGGGTGGGTCGTCTTCACATAAAGAGTGAGGGTGGAGGTGGGTCGTCTTCACATAGACAGTGAGGGAGGGGGTGGATCGTCATCACATAGAGAGTGCAGGTGGGGGTGGGTCGTCTTCACATAGGGAGGGACTTTACCCACAAATCTTACCATTATAAATTTTTTCGCACTTGCAGCTTTACTTAAAATTCTTGCAGATGAAATGTTTTATGGCATGTAGAAGGGGGAGAGTTGCAGCCAACACACAGAAATGTGTTAGAGGGGAAGGATTCCCATAATATTTACAAGGAGAGAAGACATTGGACAACACCTACTACCTCTCGTGTCAACACCTCCTTCCACCCTGGCAGATAGTACCTGTTGGCATCCTGACCCTTGCATAACCCACCAAGAAACTAATCACAAACAACCCTAATGTTCAGGTTGCTGCTAAATTAAGCACCATAGAACACATTTACATTATATAAGCTGAAAACAACATAGCACAGACCATATACACTGACGGATCAATCAATACAGCTACAGGGAGGGCAGGAAGTGCTGTTATTGCTTATCAGCCCGATGGCAGCACAATTCAAAGGAATATCCAAATTGGTAACTGGGCGTCCACAATGCAAGCCGAGTTTGTAGCAATACTGGTGGCACTCGAAATTATTGACAACACTGAAGTAGACAGCTTAATTATTTCCGACTCCCTTTTCTCACTACGAGCAATAAATAGTTTGCAATCAAGTAATAACGTGCTTGTCTCAGAAGCCAGATATATATATATATATATATATATATATATATATATATATATATATATATATATATATATATATATATATATATATATATATATATATATATATATATATATATATATAATATATATATATATAAGTAGTGTATTGTGAAGACTAATAACAAACAGAAGCTACCCTATGACTATCTCCATTGGTCAAACTATTATGTATTAGCGATAAGACCTACCATTAATGTTTAATGACTTACCGTGAATGTATAGCTCTAGAAATAGAACATTCTCTGTAACTAGCTGACATTGTAACTATAAGGTGTGAAGGATAGATGAAATTATTTATGTAATAATCTAAGTTGAGGTCTGATAAAGACCTTTTGTGCCCTGTGTAATGCTTCTTGCGCTACCGCTCACAGGATGAGTATGGGGTGCACAATAAACTAGCGGCCTCTGGCGGCCACAACAAACAAAACCCCTCGTGTTATGCTAAACATGTCTTCTCTCGGATCAGTGGCCAGGAAACACTTTATATTATTTGAAGTTTTGCTGCTAAAAATAATATTCATCAGCATCCCGATTAAGAATTAAATTTCTATTGCAGTTTGTGGAACTGTGGAAATTACTGGGAACGCGAGCCTACTGGAGAAGTACCAGGAATGTGGCATAATTGAGGGTCACCTGAGAATACAGCTCATCGAGGACCTCAACCTCACCTGGCCTCTCTTGGGCCTCCCCAACCTCACACAGGTCAGTCAACCCTACCTGGTCTCTCTTGGGCCTTCCCAAACTCACACAGGTTAGTAAATCTCACTTGGGCCTTCCAACCTCAAACCAGCAGACAATTCTGGTGTAATAGTAGGGGACCCCATAGCCTAGAAGAAGGGAAAACAGAGCAGTCAGAGAAATGTTGCATAAAATATAAATATATAAATATAAATATATATATATATATATATATATATATATATATATATATATATATATATATATATATATATATATATATATATATATATATATATATATATATATGAGAAAGTTGCATGAACGCGCAAGCCATAGATCACTAAGAACTCTTTGACCCGGCCAGGATTCGAACCCATGCCGTCCAGGATCACCCCTAAACGTACACCACCGTCTGCCTCGCAATCACCTCACTGAATACTGAACTTCGATGTCCTACCAGATAAACAGGAGAATATAAAACCCAAGTACTCGTCTACAGCCGAGTTCACCCACGACAACGACAAATCACACTAACAAATCACAGTGATTTACGTTACAATCCGGTTGCAATGACAATACTGCAGAACCTAGTAAAATAACTTACAGGACATGAACCCTCTAGAACACTGCCCCACAATGACTTTACTTAACTGCAATCACATACGGTGATTGCTCAACTCTAGCAATAATCACTAACAATAACAACCCCTTTGCAATAACACACACGGCAAGTACTCTAATTTCCAAGTATTAGAATACTGCACACACTTACTGTTGCAAATGACCCCAGTGCTCTCAATAACCCCTAGAACATAGGTCCACAATTTGCAATCACCAGAGTAAATGACACAATAACACTGGGCACCGTGACACTACGATTATATATATATATTTATATATATATATATATATATATATATATATATATATATATATATATATATATATATATATATATATATATATATATATCTATCGGCTTAGTGTGGCAATCCAGAGAGGAAATGCTCACTGCACCCATGGTTCCTGCCCGCCATCTGAGGAGCTGGAGGAGCTATTCAACTTGTGACAAGCAGCCTTGTACCCGGTATGTAATCAATATTGTAACTTTTTTTGTGTAATGACATTTTCAAATAAAGTTAGATAAATATATATATATATATATATATATATATATATATATATATATATATATATATATATATATATATATATATAATTACTGCTGACACATGTAGCCTACAGCTATTAAATGTTATTGGGAACACTAAGGAGATCTCGCACTCCTTAAATCACATGGGTGAGTGATTTACCGATTCCGCAGGCCGATAAACACACTCGAGAGTTACGTTACTCGACAAAGCAACGGCGGTCTCTCCCGACAGCCTCGTCGCTCACCAAATTCTACCAAAATTACGTTAATACTGCAACCACAATACATATATAATTCACACTTGTAGCGGCCCTGGGAACAATACAAGAAATTAAGACCACACTGTGGTACACTCCACAATAATCATTGCCAGGAATCACTGACGTTACACGCACACTAACCTGAGCGCTCAGTGTTGGAATTCCACACCTGCAAGACTACACATGGAAATAATATCACTCCGTCCCACGGACGATCAAAAAATGATTTAATTACCACAATGGAATAATATAATTATTACATGGACATCCTCACAGTCCTTGGCTAATCTATGTATTCTCTGTTCCCGTGTGTACCCACACACACACACACACACACTGTACGTCTGTGTACACAAGATGTAAGTCACTCTGGACTGACAGCAAGGGTGATTATCTCCTCGTCCACACTTCACTTCACCTCTGCAGGTGATGTGTGACAATGTGACGGAACACTTGACTTTCGAATTCAAGTTTTTAGAGACTAACTGATCACCAGCAATACACACATAGGTACTTACTCATTCATACTGCCGGCTTACACACCATTCCCATACATCAGGCACCCCGGCTCGCTCGCTCACGGCAGTGGTAGGTGGCGTAGGTGGCGGTAGGTGACGTAGGTGGCGGTAGGTGACAGAGACCTCCTCACCCTTCTTGAGTGAGCGTAACGCCCCCAACACTTTTGGCGCCAAAACACTGACTCGAGATTTTATTCACGAATTTCTGAGAAAACTGCCCCTGAACACTTGGCACGAATTTCCCCCGTTCCCATCGACTGCTACAGAGCATATAGCTGCATGGAACGTTTTCTTTTTAATCACTGGTATGGGATCTACGAGTCTGTTACTGCTCGTATGCACATTACCCCACAATCCCAGATCACAAGATCTCCTCTACCACTGTACAATGTCTTTCTCCCCTTCGAGCGACGACTTCGGCCGGATTCTGTGACGACTGCTGTCGTAGATGAAGAAGTTGAGTAGTCAAGCCACCACGACGCTCTATACTGAATTTGGCCGAATTGAGTACAGAGAGCGTCTTGACAAAGTGGCAGCTGGGTTCAGAATGACGCCTACACCGGTGATTCCCATGTCCTCCTCGAAATAACCAATGAGTGGAAGGCATACAGCGGCCTACCCCTCTCAACCAATTAGCGACGGTGTAGCATAGCCCCTAGGGCAACTTCAAGATGGCCGACCAACATGGCGGCTCAAGATGTTTACTAAGAGGGCGGCTGTTTCCATGACGACGATCGGCTAACGCGCGGGGGGGGCCCACCTCCCGCGCAAACTCGAGTCTCGCTTCAAGCCATACTATGAGATGATGCTATCGGCATATCTCTGTCCACAGACGTGCTACCCCGGCCAGGGTAACATTTCTGACTGCTGGTGACTGGGGCTCTCACATAAGCCCAAACACTAGATGTTTCGGTTGCTGGTTACCAAACTTAAGTCCGCACACTTAACAAGTGCACTTAACAAGTGTACTGGCTCCCACAGGCATAAGAGCACTATTGTAAGTGAGCTGGTGAACCATCTCCTCACACTCTTCAATGATATCTAAGATAATTAGAAGAACCCAAACATGCTACTGTGGAAATGTGCAGGACAAACATATCAACTGTGACACCAGCTCTCCACATATGTCAGTTGCTTAATTTATAAACTGTACTTGTGGTCGATCTCGAGTCAATGATTGAGAGAATCCTTAGGTTCAAACGCTTTACTCCAAGAGCTTAATAAAAAAATTCAAATTGTTGAACCAATTTTATATGAATTGTTCTGCCGGAAAAATATTTAGAGGTTTTATAGTGATTATGTATGTGCTATTTAGAAGCAACACATCTGGACGGTCTCTCTCTCGAGTCCTGTTGCCAGATTGGGTAAAAAAAAACCAGTCCCCGTAGCATAGTGGTAAAGCACTCGCTTGTATCTGCCGGGGAGGATTGACCAGATGCCAATCCTTAACATTAGCCTAGCTCTGATCACCCAGCAGTGAATGGGTACCTTTGTTAAACGATTTGGAGGGCCGTATTCTGGGGTCAAAATTAGGATTAAGGACATGCCCGAAACTCTACACGTCATAGTGGCTTTACAAGAATTTATAAACTCTTGTATATATAAATAAAATTAAATAAATAAAAAAGTGTCAAATTAGGCTAGTTAGTTTTGAGTGCCCGGCACTCATAAATCAATTCATCATCCTTATAGACGTTAGGCTAATAATGGTAAAGTCAATGATTGATTAGTTATCCACATATAAATGTAATGTGTGTAAATGACAGCTGCCTCAAACAGCCTGGTGGACCAAAAACCAAACCGGAGGAGGCCTTTTGGTAATTATATGGACCCCTTGGGTGACGTGATGACTATGGGGTGCACAGTAAACTAAGGCTCACAGGATGAGTATGTGGTTCAAAATATATACTTTAATGACAAAAATTTTAAAATGTATTTTATGTTTCTGAATTTCTCATGATATATAATATATAAGGTTTATACTTAAGTTAAGAACTGTACTTGTGGATGACATTCCCCGGTTTGACACCTTCTTTTGATAATTACCTTCTTGTGGTTGACATATATAATCTGACTGTGTCAGCCATAATTCACCTAGACATCGATCCTGCGTCATATGATGATCAAAGAGTGCAATTACGGTATCATTGCAACTTTATAGAAAATCGTTAAATCATAAATATATTTTGGTTCTTATACTGGAAATATTGTTACATTCAACGTTTGAAAACAAAGTTTATATCTGTATTTTTAATAAAATATAAAACATTAATGTTTATCAACGCAACTCTGTGCATTACATAATTTATCAGTATTGTGCAGTCTGTGATCCCCCCGCCTGGCTGGACACTGATACCTAAGAAGTTTTCATGTGTCCGGACACCGGCGATAGAGTGGTATTATTTATTTAATTCAAGAGATATTTTTTTAAATGTTGTCATATTAACGGCTACTTCTTCCTTTCTTCTGACATATAGATTTTTAAAGTTAATTAAAATATATTGAAACTAATTATACAATTTATTGGTTGGTGTGCAGGGCTTCAAACTCTCTGAGCTAGCCATCAAGTAACTATCAAAATGCATATATCTTCGCTTTCACTTCAGTTATATTTATGACAAAAGATTTTAAATGTAGCCTATATTTCTACCTTTCTGATGACATAAAAACTTTCGTTTATTATAATATTTAGATCAAACTAACACTGATTTTCAAAAGGTTGTATTTTCCACCAATGGAGAACGTCAGCCAAGAAACCTTCTTTAAAATATGAATATCTTTCCTTACCCAATAAGATCTAATCTCTGTAAATAAAACGCAAAAACGACTTGATTGTAACCTATCCCCCGCTGCCCATTGGATGGGGTTGGGGCTTATGTGTTGGATAAACATATCAATTGTGACACTAGCCCTCCATATATGTCAGTTGCTTAAATTATAAACTGTACTTGTGGTCGGTCTCGAGCCCATTGTTGATGTGACGATGTACATTGACTTTTGTAATTAGCTCATCAAGATTATAACTTGCTTAGCTATATGAATTGTGGGGTTCAGTCCCTGAGCCCATTATGTGCCTCTGTAACACTCTCC